GTCTGAGGGGGTGCTCTTGGGGGCATGATGGGGGTCTTGGAGGCAAGCTTGGAAGGGAAGGCTCCCAAGGCCAGTTTGGGTTTCCCCGTGTGGACCCCTCTTGGGGCTTTCTTGGGGGCTTTGGGCCGTCGTGGGGCCCTCTCGGGCTGTCTTTCTTGGCGTCCTCCTGGCCCGTATTTGAGCCCTCTTGCTCCGTCGTGCAGTGTTCTTGGACACCTTTGGGGCCGTGGGCTTTGAGAACCCGAACAGGCGGACGTGCTAGCAGCGCAATGGGAATGCCCGACGTTTGCCTCTTGAGGTCCTCATGGACGTCCTCTCGGAGCCCTCTTGGGGCGTCTTTGGGGCCTCTTGGGCCGTAGGCGGGGCCTCTTGGAGCATCTTGGGGCCCTCTTGGAGCGTCTGGAGGCCTTTTTGGGCAGTGTGGGGACCGCCTTGGAGGCTTTGTGGGCTGCCTTGGGGCGAGGTCGGCTGTCTTGGGGCGGCTCTTGGCTGTCTTGGCTGTCTTGGGGTATATATATGCTTTACGTTTTGTATGTTTTGTTTTGATTTTCGGCAGCTCTGTTTGATTGGTTTGTGTGTTTTCCCTTTTTGTTTTAAATTCCCCTCGGTCAGAGCTTCTCCGAACAGTATTGTCTTTTCCAGAGAAACCCACAATCGGTTTCAGAGAGGGTGGCAGTTTTCCTGACCGCGCGCGCAATGCAGGGGGGGGGAGGGGGGGAGTCGGCCCTAGAAAGCACGACAGAAACCTTACCAGGCACAAGAGGAGCATTCTAACACGCCCCAACGTGCCAAGCACGGTGGCGGATAGTTAAGCTTGCCAGCCGCTTCGGATATTTCTAGACCCTGGTATCTTGGGACAACCAACACCCATGTAGCATAATGTTGTCTGTTGCCTCCGACGGTCTCACAATGGATCGGCAGATCTTTTCTTGGCCCTTGGATTGAGGTTAAGGTGTTGTTTTCCACTTTGCTTGCTCCCCCTCTACCCCTGACGCCCTCGTCTGGTTGGTGCGTGTTTGGCGTGCCGATGGGTGTTCGGCGTGATGCGGGTCGAGTGTGGAAGAGAATGAGGTATCCAACCGCGTGGATGGCAGCCCTCTCTTTCCTCCTCTTCTTCCTTCTCTCTACTCTTCCCCGTCTTAGCCTCACCTTCCTCCTCTTCCCCCTCTCCCCGCTTCAGCTGGCGACAAGGGGGGGCCAGTCACGTCGCGATTCGCGCCGGTGCCGTCTGGGAATGCTTAGAAATAGCCAATTTCAAGACTGCGCCTGCGCGAATCGTGACATTACATGATGGGCCTGTTTTCCACAACCACCATAAGTTGTAGGGGGAGGGGGTCCTCCTCCTCCTCCTCCACCTCCTCTTCCACCTCCTCCTCCTCAACCTCCTCCTCTTTGTCCTGCACATCCTTCCCCCCTCCAACTTGTGGTGGTTGTGGTTGTTGAAAACAGGCCCATCATTACAGGGTGAGAGGGGGGATGGGGGGGGGGGGGCGGGGCTGGTAGCCGGCGCTTCCGCGAATCGTTTAAGCATTGTTTCTCGTTTGCCTACCTTCTTTTCCCTCCCTCCCTGCTCGTCAGCTCAATGGCTTGTCGCAGATTTGGGCCAAGCTGAGATCGAGTGTGAGAATGCACGATGTATTTGCTCATGGAAGCGCGTAGCAGGGCGTACAGGTATTCTTGACGCTCTGCGTATCTCCATCAGTCCTCGGTGCGGCCCGCGGCTGGCGCCTCCGTGGGCTTCCCGGGCACGTTCTCCGCTGACCCGGGCCTTCATCAGGGTCTCCTGCCCGCTGGCGCGTGTTCGCGGTATTCGACAGTCGGGCCTGACAGGTTCATGGTCTTCGGCGTCTGGCTGCTGACGACGGTTCAGACCTCATGGAGCTGCGCACGTACCTGGAGAATGACGTGTCCTTGGCGTTCACCGACCCGGCCCTCCGCCTCCTGAGCGGCGCCGCGTGAGTTTCTTTTTCTCCCTCCTTCCGTCGTCTCCCCGTCTTCTTCGCTTTTTTCGTCGTCTTCGCTCTCTCCCGCTTCGCTCTAGCGCAGCCTCTGCGTAGTGGCCCTGTTCTTTTTCCGCGTCTCGCCGGCGACAGTTGCGCTGTGTTCTTGCACCTGCTTGCGTTCGCGCGACCTCACGACGCCGCGCGGGTGCCCGCTCGCGGTCGCGATCAAGGAAACGATCCCTGGACGAGTGGCGTTGACCAGGGAAGTGAAGGATGATTCGGTGACGCAAGAAGGGAGGCCGTCGCCAAATCACCTTCGCACTCCCCTTTCGCATCTTCTCATGCAAGCTGAAGAATTTCCCGAAGGTTGTTCTGGTTGACTCTGGTTTTTCCCGGTCGACCATAAGCAGGCTTTCAGAGGCTTATTGGGGCCACCTGGGGTCCTCATGGTGCGTTTTGGATGCCCTGTGTGTTTTTTTGTTTTTTTTTTTGGAAGGTCTTAGGGGCTCTGTTGGGCCAGTCTGGGAGACGCATGCCAAATAAGGGTGGGGCTGATTTGCGCTCCCCCGTCGGGGCCGGAAAAATCGCATCCGGGTTCTTTCGTGGGATACGGTTGGGTTTTTTTTTGGAGGCCTTGCCGTCTGGAAGTCCGTCTGGGCTTCTCCTGGAGCTCTGTCGAGCCACTTCCAGGTCGAGGCCTCAGGCGCCGTTAACTAACGGGTAGTCTATCTCGCGTTGTCCTCAAGGCTATCTTAGGCTAGTAGGGGCCACTTCGGAGCCATCTACAGCCAGCTTGGACGCTCTAGTTCCTCGCTCCCTCCCCCATCCAGACCCATGGGGGGACGCATGAGGGAAGTGTCAAGTTCCCAGAAGGAGCGCCACAGGCTGTCTCGCTCACTCCTACCGGCTCTCCCACCACAGAACTAGCATCCAGGGGGGTCAGCAGACGGAGTGGCCGCCATCGGATGGACAACAATTGTGGACTCATGCAGGCGCCAAGTGCGCCACGTTCACTGCCAGTCGCGCCACGCGCCCAGGTGCCCAAACGCGCGAGGTTAGGTGTCGGCAGATTGAGTGACGGGGAGGAGGAGGAGGAGGAGGAGGAGAGAGGAGGAGAGGAGGAGGAGGAGGAGGAGGAGGAGCCCCTGATGGGGCACCCCTATAAGTGGGGTGTCGGGCCAAAGCGCCCCCTAGCAGAGGCGGGGGCCGCTGGGCCTCAGGGGCACAAGCCCTCGCACCTGGGGTGGCCCCCACAGCGGGGTCCCCTCCCCAGGGGGCCCCCGGCCACGCAGTCTCCCACGGGAGCCTGGCTTCCCAGCCAGGTGTCCCCCGCGGGAGTCGTGTGCCAGGGGGTCCGTCTCCCCCCCGTCGTGTCGTCGCCGTCGCTGTCGCGTTTGTCGTGTCGTGGCGGGCCCCTGGGGCGGGTGGTGTGGTCTGGTGTTGCCTGGCCCCTGCCCGTTCTGTCGGTGGTCGGGTGTTTCCGGCCGGCAGAACGGGGCGGGGCAGCTGGTTTGCCATTCCGTGTTGCCCGTTTGCGGAGGGCCCGCCCGCGCCGTGAGCGCCCCGCGGCCCGGCCGCGGCGGCGCGCGCGGCGCCAGTTTCGGCGGCCCGATTAGGGGACCAACCGCTGCAGTGTGCGACCGAGGAGGAGGATGACGAGGACGAAGACGAGGACGTGGACGAGGACGAGGACGAGGATGAGGAGAAGGAGGGGGATTATTGTGGGGAGGAGGGCGAGGAGGAGGACGAAGAGGAAGAGGACGGAACTTGTGTAATCCCAAGGGTCGCCGACGATGTTGGAATACCCCCCCCAAGCTCCTTCCTCATGCGCCCCTGCAGCGGTTTGTGTCCACAGAGGGACTTGCATCGTTGAAGACAACCGTTTGAAGACCCTGACGCATGCCGAAACATTGTTCTTGGCATTCCAACGCCGCGGATGAGCCTGACGGTTGCGTCTTGGCGATCCTGAGTCGTGCCAGAACGCCCTGCCTGGGGCTCCGACGCCGCGAATCATCAAAACTGTTGCGCCCTCATAATCGTGAGTCCTTCCAAAATGCCATTTCTGGTACGTCGGTCATGGAACCCGCGAAGCTATTGCAAATGTTTAAACTGACAGCGGACGGCGCCTAGGCGAGAAACGCATTTCGAAAAAGGAACCGCCCTCAATCCGTGAACCTCGTGCAAATGTTTAAAACGACTGTGCGCGGCGCTAAGGCGAGAGCCACATTGTGAAAACCACCCGCCCTCAATCTGTGAAGCTTTTGCAAATGTTTGAAATGAATGTGCGCGGTGCTAAGGCGAGGACCGCATTTTGGAAACCACCCGCCGTCAATCCGTGAAGCTCCTTGCATCATTGGAAAAAAAAAAAACGAATGTACGCCGCGCTCAGGCGAGAACCACATTTTGATAACCACCCGCTTTCAATCCGTGCAGTTCATGCAACGTTTGACAACGCATGTGCGCGGCGCTAATGCGAGAACCACATTTTGAATACGACCCGCCCTAAATCCGTGAAGCTCCATGCAACATTTGAAAATACACGCGCGCGGCGCCAAGGCGGGAACCACATGTTAAAAACCACCCGCCTTGAATCCTTGGAATTGTTGTCAGTGTAAAGGTTGAGGGTCATAAAAGGGTGAGGAAGTCTCCGGCGAAACACCCGGCCCGCCCTAAACTGGCCTCGGGGTGCGACAGGGAAGTTCCTCATAAGGAGAAGGAGCGGAGGAGGGGGAAGAGGAGGAGGAGGAGAACCAGGGATGAGGGCGAGGAAAGGGGTGCTTGTTTCCAGGCCCGTAGCAATAACAATTTTGGCTCGAGCCCGTCTTCCCCCGAGCGCAGCAACCCGGCGCCGCCTGTCCTCCCACACCGCTCGGCGACTGCAGAGGTTGTGGCTGCGCTGGGGGGCACCACGTGGCCCTCGTCGGGCTTCTTCGGGGCACGGCGGAGAACTCCGTCGAGCTCCTCGCCCGCCCGCCAGGGTGCGGGCTGCAAGCCGCACCCTCGACAGACCACGCCCTTCGGAGTCGCCGAGCCGCGCCCGTCAGCCGGGGGCCGGCCATGTCGGGCGACCGCTCCGCCCGCGGCGCCGAGGCGGAGGAGGCCACGGAGCTTCTGCGCGAGCAGCCCGGGCCCGCGCGCCTCCGCCAGCCGGCGGCCGCCGCCGCGCTCCTCGCGGCCCTCGCCGCGGCCTCGGCCGCCGCGCTGCTCCTCTCGCGCGGCGGCCCGGTGCGGGCGGGCCCCTCGCTGGTGCGGCTGGCCGCACAGGAGGCCGGACATGCGGGCGGCGCAGAGATAAAGATACGACGGGAGGTCAAAGTGTTCGGACGCATGGGCCCTCGCCGAGCCCCAGGATGGATGATGCTCAGGGCGTGCGTTGGCCCAACGGTTAAGTCGGGCCTGTCCCTCTACAGGGGAATGTTCAAAGATGGTCAACAAATCGTGTGGGGACTTTTTTGGAGCACTTTTTTTTACCACTTGGGGATATTTCTTCACTGATGTTTTTAATTTTTCGTCCAAAATCCCCCTGTGGGAGGACAGGCCCGTCTTAAGCCCAATGGGTGTGTTTACCCCCCTTTAGTCCAACCAGTAGATCATCACATTGCCTGCGTCGTATCGAGTGGCCTCGATGGACAAACACACGTTGGGGCTAACACGCGTTGCGAGGATCAGCGACGGGACCCTGAGAAAACGACTGGGGATGGAAAGCCGGCCCCTGGTAAATGGTCGGGACTTCTGGGGACCGCATAGTGGGCACAGCAATGCAAGCATGTCTGGGGAGGCCACGGCCATCACCTCGCTCAGCCACGGCACCGACTACTGCCCGGCGGCCGGCGAGAACTGCACCGCCCTGAGGTGTTGCGCCGAGGCGGGTCTCCAGTGCTACAAGAAGAACTCGGCGTGGGCGAGCTGCCGGACGAACTGCACCAAGAACAAGTCAATGCCTGGTGACGCCAACAAGGACCCCTGGGACTGTGAGGAGTTCGGCGCCCGCACTCCGGGTCCGGCCGGGCCAGTCGACGAAGATTACGACTGGACCACGGGTGGCTTACGCGGCCAGGACTGCAGGGTCCACAAGTTCTGCGCCGGCCAGGACGACTACTGTTACCTGAAGAACAAAGAGTGGGGCAGCTGCATGCGGGAGTGCGACCCTGCAGCGGCAGGCACAAAAGGCTGGAGCTGCGAGAAGCTCTACTGAGCTCTCCCCGCGGTCCAGCGAGGTGAGCGCTGATCATATACCCGGCCTCCAAGACGCCGAAATGACCAGCGTGGCTCTGCCAGCGAGCCGAGGCGTTCAAGCCCACCGTGTTGAATCTCGCCTGGTCAGCTCCGTCTCTCACTTGCAGCGTAGGTAATTAGCTGCGTCTCTGGGCATGCTGCAGAGAAGCCCCCTGCACATGTTCGATCACAGCTTCGCATGAAATTCTCTCGCACCGTCTCCAGTCCCCCCCGATCGCCCTCCTGTCCTCCTCCTCCTCCTCCTTCTACTCCTCCTCCTCCTCCTCCTCCTCCTCCTCCTCCTCCTCCTCGTCTCCAGTCCCCCCCGATCGCCCTCCTGTCCTCTCCTCCGTTCCAGGTACGCTCCCGGTGCTTGCTGGTCGCCCCCAAAGCGGGATCGCAGCCGCAGAGTTTTCCAGCAGGCTGCGGTGGAGCGCGAGACGCTGCAACTCCCAACGGATGTTGCAAGATTGGATTCTTCCTCCTTCTCTTCCTCCTCCTCCCACTCTTCTTCCTCCACCTCCTCCTCCTCCTCCTCCTCCTCCTCCTCCTCCTCCTCCCCCTCCTCCTCCTCCTCCTCCTCCTCCTCCTCCTCCTCCTCCTCCTCCCTCCTCCTTCCCCTCGTCCAAGAAAGCAGAGTGCCTGAGGCCGCCTGCGTGCTCTCGCCCTCCCGAGTCTCGGCACTTTGGGCCTCCTCCCCTCGCCTCTGCCTCCGCGGGCGCCCTCCTCCTTCCCAACCCGCACGTGCGTGTGGTCGCCGGGCGCGACGCGCCGTACAGCTGCGCTTGCGCCCGCCAGGGCCGCCGACAGAGTATGCGTGTGTTCAGGCCTCCCGAGTGGGGCCCGAGCAGGCGGGGTCGGAGGATGGCGCCGCATCGCCGATGCATCGCCGATGTGGCTCGAAGTGGGGCCCGGTTTTCTCCACGCCGACGGCGCCGAGGCATCGCCGGCGTCGCCGATGCATAGCCGATGCACCCGCGATGCATCGCCGATGCGGTGCGATCCTTCGACCCCATCTACTCGGACCCCATCTAGGAGGCCTCTATGCCACATTGACCTTAGAGGGCTCGTGGGGTAAGACGTCTACGTTAAGAACCTTGGGAATTGGGGGCTGCTGGCAGATGCTTGCTATAATAGGATGGCCATACTGAGGCAACGAGTTTGTCCGATTCCTGTGGTAACCATAGTTGCGTTTCTCCAAACTGCGTTTCATATTGAGAGAATGAGTGCGCATCTCAATTTGCAGAGCAAACGCCGCACGACATTGTTTGTCCTCCATGCTTGTTTTCTCAAAACGAGATCGCTTCGCCGTGATGACGCAATCTAAATGCTCAACGTGCGCTCGCCCTCTCGTTTGCAGCAGCAAGCTTTCAGCGGTGCCTGTCGGCTCAGTTCTATCGTCAAGCTCCTGGAATCAATTACAGCACGGCTCCCGCCCGCGACGGGTCGCCAGACCCAAGCCTCGCTTCTCCTTCTTCGATCGGCAAACAAGCTCCACCCTGCCGCCGAATTCCTCTAGCTCTGGTCGAACCAAGCTCTACGAGGTACTCCGCTGTTGCCCGAGCCGCCGGGACCCCGGCCTAGACTGGTGTGTGTGTGTGCTTTCTGCTCCCAGAGCCTCTGGCGCTGCCGGAGACTCGAAGGCGAAGCTCTCGACGAGGCCTCCGCCGAGCAGAGCATTGTTATCGCCCAAGCTGGGCACCTCACCCGAGGTCGAGAATCTTGAACGCCGAGCGCTTGAATGACCGTACCGGCGCGCTGTTGGGACAGGACGGCCAACCAACATCATTTGGAGACCTTCTCCCCTCCCCTCCCCTGCTTCCCCTGCTCCACTCCCCTGCTCCCTCCCTGGCCTCCCTCCTCTTCCACCTCCTTCACCACATCCTCCCTCTCCTTCCTCTGCTCCATCTTCCCTCCCTGTTCCCCTTTCTCTCCTCACTCCCCTCCCTCTCTTCCCTCTCGCCCTTTCCTCCCTCTCCCCCCTCTCCCCCCTCTCCTCCCTCTCCCCCGCTCCTCCCTTTCCTCCTTCCCCCCCCTCCCCTCCCCCCACTCCCCCCCTCTCTCCCCTCTCCCACCTCGCCTCCCCTTCCCCCCTCTCCTCCCTCCTCTCCCCCTCGTTCCGCCTCGTCCTCGCCCTCCCTCCCCCCCCCCCCCCCCCCCCTGAGCCGCCTCGGGGTGCCCCTGCGCGGGGGCGTCGCGGGCGGGCGCCGCAGGAGAGCAAGAGCAAGGGCAAGAAGAAGAAGAAGGAGGTCAAGAAGGAGGAGGAGGAGGCCCGCCCTCCAGCGAGGAGGAGGAGGAGGAGGAGGAGGAGGAGGAGGAGGAGGAGGAGGAGGATGAGGAGGATGGAGGAGGATGGAGGAGGATGGAGGAGGATGGAGGGAGGGAGGGAGGGAGGGAGGGAGGAGGGAGGGAGGGAGGGAGGAGGAGGAGGAGGAGGAGGAGGAGGAGGAGGAGGAGGGAGGAGGGAGGAGGAGGAGGAGGAGGCCCGCCCTCGGGCTCGCGCCCCCTGGGTCGGGGCAGAGGGGGCGGCGTGCGACGCCTCCCCATCTCCGCGGCTGCTCGCGGTGGGCGACCCCTCGCCGCCCGGGGTGGGCTCTGGTGCGGGCCCCAGGGGCTTCTTGGTAGTCCCCAAACCCAGACCCCCTCGAGTTATGAAAAAATCACGACGGGAGGTTTTTTAATGATTTTTGGCCTTTGGGGGCCCTTACCGGCCCTCGGGACCGTCGAAAAACGACTCAGGACGAAAACACGGTCCCGGCGAATAGGTCCGGACCTCTGGGGGTCGCGTCATGAAAAAATCATGACGTCGGGGGTCTGGGAACGTGGTGGTGACAACACCTGGCGGTGAGTCTCGGGCGATTTGGTGTCACCACCCGGTTTGGGGACTCGTGCGGTTTTCCGAGGATGTCCCGAACATTGGGGGGTCCAGGAGTCACAGAACCCGGTGGTGACCCGTGTCCCCAAACCCAGCGGTGACCTTTCTGGGGGATTCCAGGTCGCCACCTGGTATCTCACCACCCGGTTTGGGGGTTCTCAAGCTTCTGTGGGCCTGCGCTCGACCCCCGCGTCGGGGCACGCGGCGTGTGGAGCCGAGGTCGCCTCCCAGAGTCGAAGCTCAGACGGCCTCCCCTCCGCCCTCCCTCCCTGCCACGGCGTCGGAATGGTCAGGGAGGGCGTCGACCTGGCGGGCGGAGGCTACGGGCGGATGGGCGTCGCAAGCAAACGGGGTCGTCTGCGCCGACATTCGCGCGCAAGCGGCCCGCGTCAGGTCGCGCGTAAGCGCCGTCGTTCTTCACGCAGTGTGTTGCGCTGGCGGCCCGCATAAGCCACCGCGTAGCGTCGCTATGCCATCTCGCGTAAGACCCGTCTCTTTTCGCAGCTCATGTGCCTTTTGCCCACCTGTCGCTCTCGGCGAACGTCGGCTTGACGCCTTCGTGCGCTGTCGTAGCTGATGGTAAGGCTTAGGGTTGCGCACAGGCAGCCCCCCCCTCCCCGGCTGGTCTCAACAAGCCCCCCGAGTAGTCAGAGGAGGTCTCAACACCCGGAATCGAAGGTCTGGTGGCCTGTCAGGGCCCTGGAAGCCAGGCCATTGCAACCCAGGACTGTGGCAGAGCCAGCGACAGGAGGCGTAGGAAGGAGGATATCTCCATCCACGCTTGCAGCTTCCTCTTGCGAGCCGACGTCTTGGTTTATCAAATATCCAGTTCTTCGGGGCCTCGAGCTTCCGATGGCCCCCCCCCCCCAGATCGACAGCGGACAGACGAGGGAGCACAGAGGGGCAGACGGACCAGACATGGGGGGACGGGAAAGTTTGCAGACGGGGGAGGGGAAGCGGGGGTGAAGAACGGAGGACACCACACCACCAGGGCGAGGAAAGGCACAGGGAAGAAATGAGGAGGAGGAGGAGGAGGAGGAGGAGGAGGAAGGAGGAGGAGGAGGAGAGGAGGGAGGAGGAGGAGGAGGAGGAGAGGAGAGGAGGAGGAGGAGGAGGAGGAGGAGGTGGGGAGGAGGAGTAGGAGGAGGAGGAGGAGGAGGAGAGGAGGAGGAGGAGGAGGAGGGGGAGGAGGGGGGGGGAGGGAGGAGGAGGAGGAGGAGGAGGAGGAGGAGGAGGAGGGAGGAGGAGGTAGGAGGAAGAAGAAGAAACATAAGAAGAAACATAATAATAATAATAATAATACTAATAATATAATACTAATAAGAATAATATAAGCATAATAATAACAAGAATAAGAAGAATAACCATAATAACAATAATACTAAGAATAATAATAATAAGAATAAGAATAATAATATTAATAATAAAAGTAATAAGAATAATAATAATACTAATAATAATAATCATAAGAATAAGAAGAGGAGGAGGAGGAGGAGGAGGAGGAGGAGGAGGAGGAGGAGGAGGAGGAGGAGGAGGAGGAGGTTCATCAGCGATTTCCCCCCCCGATGGAAATCCTTCGGGTGGCCCGCAGACCGCCCCCCCAGAGGCCATCCCGGCAGGCCTCGACAGGCCCCCCCGCCCCCCTCCGCTACGGTACGGCTCCGTGCTGCGCGCGGGCAGCCCCCCCCCCCCCAGGCAGCCCCTGCGGGCCCCAACGGGCCCCCCGCCTCCCACGCACGGGAAGGCTCCGGGCGGCGCGCGCACGGCCCCCCTCCCAGGCGTGCTGTCCCGGCTGGCCTCCGCGGGCCCCCCGACGCCCACCGATGGATTTGACATCGCTCGGACGTGTGCATTTGTCTTTCGGCGAGGACCATCGAGGAGCATCCTTGATCATTTGGCGAAAAAACCACACACGAAACCGAAAAAAGCACAGGGAATGGACGTCCGAGCGATGGCCAGTGGAAGGCTTCGGGCTCCGGCTTGCGCAGAGGCGGCCCCCCCATGCAGCCCCGGCTGGCCTCAACGGGTCTTCCGCCCCTCTCCGACGGCGATGGGTTCAGATCCCAACCGGACGCGTGAGATCCCAACCGGACGGTTCAGATCCCAACCGTCTAAAACACCAGGCACGGTCAGATCCCAACCGAGGAGGAAGCGAATAAAGAAAACAGATTGAAACATTGCCATACCTGTTCATTGCTATCTGAAATTGCGATGGGCACCTTACAGGAGCAGATTTACGCCTGAGTTATTGCGGTTGGGATCTTGCGCGTCTTTTGCTGAATTGTAGTAGTGGTAGAAGTAGTAGTGGTAGTACTAGTAGTAGTAGTAGTAGTAACAGTACTAGTAGTAGTAGTAGTAGTAGTAGTAGTAGTAGTAGTAGTAGTAGTCGTAATAGTAGTAGTAGTAGTAGTAGTAGTAGTAGTAGTAGTAGTAGTAGTAGTAGTAGTAGTAGTAGCAGTAGTAGTAGTAGTAGTAGTAGTAGTAGTTCGTAGTAGTAGTAGTAGTAGTAGTAGTAGTAGTTCGTAGTAGTAGTAGTAGTAGTAGTAGTAGTAGTAGTAGTAGTAGTAGTAGTGGTAGTCGTAGTAGTAGTAGTAGTAGTAGTAGTAGTGGTAGTAGTAGTTAGTAGTAGTAGTAGTAGTAGTAGTAGTAGATAGTAGT